CCTGGTCTCCCGTGGTGAGATCCGCTGTGTACCCCGACTCCGCTCTCTTTTCAAGTTCAAACATCCTCTTTTTAACCCTTGGTCGAACAAAGAGTCTTCACAAAAACCAATCACATGTTGGGACTCGCAGCATCACAACCAATCACAGAAACAGTTTCATAAAAGGCACTACAGTTGTAAAAACCTCCTTACCAAATGAAACACGCAAAGGGATAAGTTATCCGCACGGGACACTCTCTCCCATACCAGGCCGTGCTGCCTCCTTCGGCCGACTACCGTCGGCGGCCGTTCCCACGCTCGGGCCCCGTAAGTTCTTTCATTAACTGTTGCTTCCCAGAAGCGTCCTTAAGAGCGATGGGTACACCATTGCTTACCAGGTGTACATGCGACAGCGAGGCGCCCCGACATCCTAACAACAGCGCGAGAGAGTATGGTCGTTTACCTGCCGCCACTATGTCTCGGTCAGGCTAAGTGGTCGCGTCCCCATGTCATTCTCAATGACACGCGTGCCTGTTAACAATGGCTTAGACTCAGACGGTGGCGCCGGACCTGCCTCTTGCTAGACGCTTTTCCGAGTAAGCTTTCCCCTTCTAATCCCGAACGGGGGCGACCTTGACTGCTCCGTTTGTAAGCCGTAAATGCAGCGTGTAGGCGCCTGTCCCAGGCTGGAAAACACGATTTATCCCACATTCCATTAAAGTCAAAAGCCGAAGCTCTGTAATGGCCAGAGAAGCAAACCCAAAGGTAGAAGAGTACAAAGAAAGACTTAAAAAAGAAGCAGAGGAGTTGGTTTTGCACAAATTTCCTGAGAAGATATTGGAGCTGGAAACCTTGCTCTCGTGACAGTGTGTTTAAATACAGCGGCAAGAAATTTATAATCTGACCAGTTCTTAGGGGACTGATTATGTATTAGCTTCTTCTAAGCTGCCTGTCTTTGTCTGTGATCTCGTGAACAGTCGGAATTCCACCAGGGGCTATAGGGTACTCTCTTCGCCATTTAACAGCCAATTCAGCGTTTTTGTATGCCCTTTTGATTACTGCGCTTATTTTCATAGCTTTAGTGTCATCTCCATCCTGAGAAGGAGCGTCTAAAGCAGTTTTTAGGTCGTGTTGAAGTTTTGCATAATTTATATAGGTCCGGGCATGAAAGCATGATGGTTTGACGGGGCAAGCGATCTCGAACATTATTGGAAAGTGGTCACTGTTGGAGGCGCAATCAAGGGCTGCCCACGATGTACTAGCAATGGCCGAGCTTACAAAGCTTAAATCTAAGGCGGAGCGGGAATGACCTCGAATAAATGTGGGAGTTCTAGCGTTAAGGCACAATAAGTTGTTGTCTACCGACCAGTCCCACAATCGTTGTCCACACTGATCTGTTCTAAAACCCCAGCAGGTATGGTGAGAGTTGAAGTCGCCAACTATATTTTTTTTCTTTACAGCCTGAATTAGCAGCCATATCTAACAATCTCGTGTCTTGAACGCCTACAGGAAAGTAGACGTTTATTAGCGAGAAAGGCAAGTATCCTGGCAAGGTAATATCTAACGCGAAAACTCGCACTCAGAAGACATACATTTGCATGAGTTTTTGACTTTTAAACTAATTTTATTGTTTATAAAGAAAGCTAAACCTCCACCTTTGGATGGACGGTCTAGACGAAAGGTTTGAAAATTGGGCAGGTGAAATAAACGATGTGTGGATAGCCAAGTTTCTTGTAATGCAATAATAGCCGGATCGAATTTGGAAGACAGGTATAACAGATCTGTTATGTCTGAGTGAAGAGATCGGCAATTCCAATGAATAATTTTAAGAGACCCTATGATTTCGTTAAAATGGTTTCGGCAATTACCTTATCTAAAATACTTTTTTTTAGAAAATCGGTTTTTGAAATGTTGTCTTTCTGGTATTTCTTGCTTTTTACATGTTTCGGTGAGCCAGGTTTTTTCGATACAGGGGATCTAGAACGCTTTAGGCGTTTGATATCTATGTCCATATCTTGTGTGTCCTGAGAAGCTTCCTGTGCACCCTCGCTTTGCCTCTGAACGCCTTCTTCAGAGGGCTCTGCAGACTGTGCATCCGGTGGAGTTATCTGAGATTCTGCCTCACTTGTCGGGTGTGCAGACTCAGCATTTTTTACAGCCGTACTTATATCTATCTGTGCTCCATAGACTTGTGCGATTTGGTTATTCACAATGTGCGACAGCGACTCACATAGGGTGGTAGCAAGGCGTTGCATAGCCTTATCCTCAGCCTTTTCGATCATGTCTGCAATTGATAGGGAAAATGATGCTTCCATTGCTACGTTATGGCGGGCAGCTGCTCCTGCATACCCTTGAGTTCGGGCTTGGATTTCAGCAATGGCATCCTTTCGGAAGCATCGCCTGCTGTCTACAATTTCAAGGATTTGGATTTCACGTGCCTTGGCTGAGCAGTTTGGGTTATCAACGCAGTGTGCTTCAAGGCAAAGACAGCACTTTTATTCGTTACTTTTACAGTCGTTTGAGTTGTGCGTCTGACCACAAATTCTGCATCTAGGTACTGACCTGCGTCCTTTCACTGTGTGCCCATAACGCCAACACTTAATACACTGTAGGGGACGAGGCGATAGTGGCTCCACTCTGTATATTAAAGGCCACGCTTTGATTTCGGTTGGGCGATTCGACCCGGCAAATGTAGCAATCACGGACTCCGTTGGGACCTTGTTCTTGTCCACAACTCGACTACATCTATAGATAGCTATCACACCTGCTTCTGAAAACATATCTAATATCTCAGTTGGGGTCAAGTTGACATCGACACCCCGAACGAGGCATTTGACGCAAGCTAGGTGAGGTGGAATGAATGCGCTCACCGGGTTGGTAGCGAATACCGAGCATTTTAGTAGGTCTCGAACACAGAGCTGGTCAGACGAGAAGCAAAGAATGCCACCCTTGCCGAACTGCCTGACCTCTGTGATGCTTTGGTAGTGAGTTGTAGCGGCTCTCAACTCCGTCCGAATCATTTTTGGATTCTTCATCCGTATAATACCATCGTTGCTTGGGACCAATGCCACAGGAACGGATGAGATGCCATTGCGTAAAAACAAGTCCACTGGCAATTCTTGTGAAGGAAGAGAAGCAGACCAGAGGAAAGCCCCTGGTCCAGGTGAGGAAAACGGCATCTGCATGGTCGTACTATCTGAAAATACACTCGCTAATCAATTAGGACACTATAGAAACGCTTACAAAAAAAAGAATAAACAAAATCAATCACAACTACTGAATTCTTGGCCAAACCCTCAGAGCAGGCAAACGTCAGTCGCTGATCGAAAGCTCGAGCTGATCGAGCCGAACAGCAAGATCGCCTTCTTTATCTTCGATCAGCCAGAGCTCCACTACCTGGTGTCCGCCAAATCCCCTAATCGTCGTTTTGGTCCACCAGTACACGCACGCCAATATATAGATAGATATGTGCTAAAAGTGGTTGCAGTACTCAAAGAAATTAATTTGAAAAGCCATTGACAGTATATCAACCAGAGTTATTTTTAAAAATGTGCTTTGTTCTTGAGAGCAAGATTTATCACAGAAGACCCAAAAACCTTTACCTCTTAGCCTGCATTCTATTAGGATTCGAGTGAAAACAAAGAAAAATAACACGCGAATAAACAATCTGACACTCGCCGCATATGATACTCAAAACGTTGTTGGAAAGAAAGTGACATTAAAATGGGAGAAAGACTGTGTGAATGAAATTTGAAAGGGTATGTTCAATTTTTTGAGATAAATATTGATATTTGAAATTATGCCTAAACAGTGATTTCGTTCCCGACACCGTTCACCCTAATTCGGAAAGATAGTTCGATGGAGTCACTCTCAGAATGCTTTTCTCTCACGACAGCTTTCGGAGTCAGCCTTCTGTTTGCTCTCTTGATCCTACTTTTTTTTTAGGAAACCACGCTGGATCCGTTAGTGCGGGCAACAAGACACCTTTTCCTTGTTCGACCTACAACTTCTTTGACACAGCGGCACAACACACGTCCTTTCTTTGCATTGCCGCTTAGCTTTTAACATCTCAGGATGTTGCAGTGTACATATGGCACCATCGAGCTTCACAGTAAATCAGATGGCAGCTGTCACACACTGATTTTAAACGTGGCGAGGTTCCGGCAGCAACAGGACGAGAGGAATTTCGCGCGTTCGTGCACCCTCTCGACACGCAGCGCCGCTTGTGGCATCTGAGTGCAGCCATCACATGCGGGGCAACCTTCTCTCGTGCGGAATGCGCGCGCTGAGCACACTAGCCAGTATATTTCTGGACACTGTACGATAACTTTGGCATAATACACTTTTTGCCACGGAGGAAGGAAAGGTTACCTTTCCTTCCTCCGTGCGGCTTCACAACAAGTTACATCAGCAGGGCCTCTCTTAGGTCCACGGTGCTTAGGTCCTACTTAGAAGTGTGGCAGCTTGGGCTAGTTGGTATGACATGACGATAGTTATAGCGCGAGAACAAAACGACTTTCGTGTGTCCTTCTTGTCTCTGTGTCGTCGTTTTGTTCTCGCGCTCTGTGTCGTCGTTTTGTTCTCGCGCTATAACTATCGTCGTTAGGTCCTACCTTTTCTTTCTCCGTTTTTTTATTTTGCTAATTTTCCGCACGCTCGATGTGCCCTCAAGTTTACTTGTTTACTTACTTTATCAAGGAACGCTAGTAGAGATTGGTGACCTTACACCCTTTTTCCTTCCTCCGTGCCTTACACCAGTGTATGCCATCAAAAGTAATTTTTCAATGTAGTCAAAATAAACATAAAGAATTACTAGCAATAATGAAAAAGTAGCTAACGTGCAAAAAATAACTGTTTCTTGTGGTTTCAATAAAATTTTCAGTAAAACATGTTGAAAGTTTTCATAAACCTTACGCAAATAAACTTAAAAAAAAGCGTTATTTCTCAAAAATACAAACAAAAAGACATAAAATTATATATAAAGAGTTAAAGAACCGGCCGAAGTCGTATCTATAGTCGTATCCAAGGCATTGTTGTAGCCGAAGTACGCCGAAAAAGCAGGGTTGCATCCATCCGCGCGTAGTTGAGTAGTCCTGCCGTATTTCGATTCCCTTAGAGCGCAGAGATTTCGCCGCGACCGCTCGCCCGGGAGGACCGTTGAAGGCTTGACGCCGGCGTCAGGCGCTAAGCTAACCCGCAAGCCGAGGTAAGTTTGCGTACGGCCCTAACTTGGCGGCGCCGCTAGCTCCTCGCCTGCAGCCGCTGTCAGCACCCACCAATTTCACATCAAGCCACGGTCGCTTTTGCTCTTTTGTTTTAGTCTTCTCAAGATTCCACGGCACATTGTCGAACTTCGCAGTGCTAAGAGAAATTGCTCGTGATTTCGCACGAATAGATTGAAGCCTCGCTTAGAAAAAAAAAAAGTGTGGGGGGGGGGGGGGATGCAAGGACTGCGCCGCATGTGCGGACATCGTGCCGTAATACTACACGAGGTCTTACAAATTTACGACCCGTAAATGCAGCTTTTCGTATTGTTCGACTCGGAGTTACTACCGTCTGTATGCTTAGCAAATCGCGTGGCCTTTTCCTCCCCTTTTTTTGCACGTTCTGGCTTTTAAAAGAAACTCCACGACGTGCCACAGTCGTACACAGCTAAGGGCCAATCTTTGTCGATGTGCATTGCGTTGCTTTGATTCCTATTTCGTGCACTCGAACACTGCGTTGCGTGCGTTATGACGTTCAAGTAATTTTTTACGCGGTTGCAGGCTGTGTGTCAATAACGAGTCAGTTTCATTAAAGAATTGAAGCATTTCACGGAAATGGTCCTTGCGTTGCCAGAGCGCATATAGTTTTTCCCCTTCGATGAGCCCACTGTTTAGTGCGTTATGTCAAGCAGATGGGTACTTCGTGCAACCGAAAGCCGACTCGCTTGTTAGGAAGCATTCAGACAATTCGGATGCTAGTCCACTGGGCATGGTTTCCTAAGCGGTGGCTTTTTCGGTGATCTTGCCACGACCTTCGATTTTTATTAATATTATTATTATTATTATTATTGCTTCACGAAACAGGTGTGTGTTGTTTACACCTTTATCAAGACATGGGTTATTGGAGTGGAGGCTATTACCATAAAATTATTTCTCACATGCCGGGGAACAAATTCGTTACGTTAGCAAGCTGTGCACAACACCGCTAAAAAAAAGGGGGGCTTTGAGATTTATGCCTTCAAATTCTCTTTACTATTGGAGGCACTTCGTTGCTGAGCAAGTCAACCTGTATTGGATCGAAATGTGTGATCGGTGTGCGAAATGAATGAGGAAGAAGTTTACACTAACTGGGTAAAGCTTAAGAAATAGCGAAGCTCGTTGATCTTAAGGGGCTTACGTGGTCTTCTTCGCCGACACTGGGTCTTTCCAACAATGTAGAGTCGAACCACAGCCTCTCGCAGACCACGCAGGAATGTCTGAACACCAGCATCAAAAACTAACGTGCAAACCTGGTTCAAGCACCCCCAGTAAAACTGTAGACCTTTTGTCTTTCGTACTTAACCTGTGCCATGCCGGGCAAACTCAGTATGGCGGCTGTTCAGACTGTCTCCGTCTGTAGGCATGACTTAGTGGCGGCTGCTCCTAGGCACATGTGTGGCTAGGCGTCGTTAAAGCTAGGTGTTGCACACCTGTGGCTTTGTTATTGATTAGCAATGACGTGGAAGGTTATTTGTGGTTTTCTTCAAGCATTAAAAACTTTGCTCGTAAAAATTTTAATGATGTTTCACTTTGCGAATACAAGAGTGAATTGGTGCGATTACCTTGCGCACTGCCCATAGAATATCTAGGTTTATGAGGATGGCTGTGTGATCCTCAGTGCTGGTGGGGGGCACATCCATCCTTAATTGGTGGCCTGGCTGTTGTTTTTCACTGGGTATGAATATTTGGGGCCCATTGAGCTAAACCATTCATTTTAAACTTTCTTGCATCAGGAACCCGTATGATCTTGTCTCTATAAAGAGACCGACAACTGATTTTTTTCGACCCAGTTTTTTCCAGCGCAACAGAAAACTTGCCCTTCGTAGTGTCCGTAGATGCATCAGTTAATCCCAAAAGCATGTGAATATTTCATAACCAGTATTTTTCGATCTGGAAGGCTCCAAACATGGATGTGTCCTTTTGTCCAGCAACACTGAAAACTCATAGCGATGCTGGTAGCCCTTCTAGCGACTTGTGCACGCTGTCATTCTGCTTTCGCAGGAGCTCCTGCAACTATGCTTAACCATGTTTATTTTGAACTTTACCACTATTTCTGAAAATAACAAGGCGTTAGGTTTAGACGATGTGTCTTTATACAGCTTCTCTGTATTTATACAGTGTTGCGTGCGCCTGCGCCGAAGGTTATTGCGCTTGTTTCGTGTACCGCCTGTCTCGTCGTCATTCCTCTCTCGACATACGAGCCATGCCAAGTTACCGAAAACATCACTGCACATATGCACGGCCGTGCTGACTAGCAGTACATGTCACTTCTGAGACAAATTGTATATAGAAAAACTACGTCGCTCCAATACCATAGTGACCCGGAAACTGCATGCACGGTTTCATGAGCATGCAGGAAAGTTGCTCAAGACGTGCTGACAAGCTTGGTATGAGTACGTCATGCGAAGGCAGCGCCACTTTAAAGGAGCACTGACATCAAATTTACTCATGCCAAGATTTTTGCGTCAGCAAGTAGCTATAGACCCCGTAGCAGCGATTCGCGACCTAAAATGCAATTGATGGATGAATAACTATCACTTTTATTGATTTATATCAATAGTATCCAGCACTATTCAAAACTGACAGCAATCCGGCCATTTTTAGCGCTGGGAGCACCAGCTGTGGTGCTATTTCGCGGTCACCTCCAGATCACGCCGCAGCTGACCACTTCTCCACTGAAAAGAGCGACGTCAGGCTCAGCTGCTCCGCAAACATTTCGTCTGCTAGGCGAACACATTGTCGTGCCTTGTCACCTGCATTGCTGTCGTCGCCGTACAAAGTGTCAACTCGGGTTCAATACGATAGTCTTGAGCTTGGAATCTTGCTATTCGCGACGTCGCGAATTATTTTTGCTTCGATCGACCTTTTGCAGAGCAGTGATTCCAAAATGGACGCCGTTGCAAGCAGCACTGCATAGGTGCCCGAGGATGCACGCTTCAGCCTTGTTCGCTCGTGTCTCAGCTATATTGGTGTGTTTTGGCGTGCAAAGCATTGAGGTATACGCAGAGGGTCAATGCAATATAGCTATCGCGAATGAGCATCAGCGGAGAAATAGAATAAGTTTCCTGCTTGTCAGGTTCTTTTATGCGCCTCCAGATGGCCCCACCTATCCAGCCTCTCGTGGTTAACACGGTATTACCACTTTTACGTGCACGCAAAGTCTACAGATGAACTGAAATTCAACGATACCTGCATGTTACGTGTTAGCGATGATATCTGACTATACGCTGTTCCACTTTTGATAGCTTGTCGTCGTGCTGATGTGTAACACATACATGATATGAAAAGACACCCTCATGGCGCTTTTTCCGTGCTTCGAACTAGACGACTCAGACTCAGCTGCAACCCACAATTCCCCGACATGCTGACCAACAAGCACCTGTTTAATCATGCTCTTTTCTTTCACCCTTCTTTTAAAGGTGGTTTTTTCTTGATAATTTCACGAAATCATTCAAACCGGTGCGATGAAGATTAGACTCGACGAGCGAGTGCGTTTCTGCGCTTCGGCGCCAGGCGGCGCCACGATAAGAACCCTCGGATAGTACACTTCATCTCTACTAGGGCATCGTCACTCAGGATGGTATTTGTGGAATGTATCGCATCGAACGCGTAGCACTAGTGTCGATGACGCAGGGCAGTCTATTTTCCGTTTTTTCTCCTTAGCTTTTTTACGCTGTTTGACATCGAATTAAAATAACTTTCACGTGACGTATGCCGTTCAAATTTGGCCAAGAAGACCTATGCATACTAAGCGATTGAATGATGGGCACACCTCGATCTTGAAATTTGATGTCAGTGCTCCTTTAAAGAAACAACTGGTATTACCGAAGTAGTAACACCAATGTTTTGTATACCTACTTATTGGTTGCTCCAGTTTGACCAACATGTGTAGAGAAGTATACATTATGCTGAGTGCTATTATTTTATAGTCGCTCAGGTGGTGACATGCTGTGGAGTGCGGTACCGCAAATTATGATTTTATTGGGGACATACTGTGGCGACATAGTGCTTGTATTCCATGGCTTTTGTTCATGCACTCTGTGCTTGCTCTGGCACAGTCATGGCTGTACCTTCTTTTTTTTTCAAGGGTGAGTGAGGGGTCTGTTATGCGTGTGTGTGTGAGTAATGTATAACATGCAATGCATGAAAATTAGTTTCAGGAGTTCATGTTTGAACTACCCAATCTTGGCCGTGCCAATGTTCCCCAACATGGCTTGTGAAACAGCTACTGCAGTGCACGATATCCTTCTCACAGGCTTTGAAAGCATTACTCTTGCCAACCTTGAGTTGTATAAGAACCGTTCAAGGTGCCTGCCAATATTTTCCCATGCAAGCATTTGAGCAGCTTCTTTTTCTCTTGCAGATGGTCAGCAGCCGTCTGGCAAACCGTCTCGGCGTTGCCGGCGGGCCAAGGCGTCGTCCGGTGACAGACGCTCGAGAGGTTCTCAATGCGCGAGTAGGTCGCGGTGCTGCCGCCTCTACGCTGGCAGCGCGCCGTCTGGGTGTGGCCTCGCGCGGCGCGACTTCACGTGGCAGGGTCGCACGGGGCATCGTCAGAACGGGCATTCGCACGGCCAGAGGCGGCCTTCGCCTCAACACCATGCGAAGCGACCTCATTGCTGGTGGCGGCGGGCTCCGCAGCGACCGTATTTTGGCGGCCACCCGCGGCAACATTGTGCCACAGACGCGGGCCTCGCCGAGGTTCCAGTTGAGGAATCTAAGACAGACAGCACAGGTTTTTCATCCATTTTACTACTTTATATTTGTCTCTACTCTTTGTTCTGTACTTTTGCTGACAGTTCTGCAGACACGCGGAGATCCCTCTGCAAAAAACCCTCATGGCTGAGGGATTGCGCAGCTAAGCATGGGAGCTAGTTTCCTACCCATGTTTGCTCTGTTTTGATCGGGTAAACTGCAGAGACATTCGTGGGCCTATATTTTGAGGCACATTAATGAAACACTAAAGGGAAAAGTGATTTTTGTGGAGTTCGTAATTTGCTCTCTTACAATACAGTAAAAGCTCAACCATTTGGATTTCACGTGACCGAAAGAGCTGTTCTTAATAACCAAATGCGGAATTATCTGAAGTATCAAGCAAGCACTAACAATAATATTGAGCAAAAAATAATGTTTCCAAAATACAGAAGAGCCACTTTTAAATTGTGGCATCATGCATAGTGATTTCGATGCTAATTTTTGTGATTTCGATGCTAATTTTTGGAACAACACTTTGGCTCTGAGTCTTCTTTACAACTAAAGCTGCAGTGGCGAAATTGATGGCAGGGGATTTTCTGGAGTGTGTAATTCATTAGTTTAAACTTTTATTGTATCAGTTCAGTGTCCTTTGAAAGAATCCAGCTGGTCAAAAATAGATCTGGAGTACCTTATCAGGATCTAATATGTGTTTAATACTACCTGATAACAATTTTCTGACAAATAATGTGAGGTCAGTAACAACTGTTAAGAAAGCTATGAATCCGTGAAAAAACCACATTAAACGCCATTCATCATTGTAACTTCTCCTTTTCTTTTTTAACATACCGCTGCCCACCAATACCTTCACTCAATTCAAGCCTGTACAATTTCTGTACTAGTTTTCTGAAAAACTTTCCGCCTTGAGCTTCCATTCGGCAAGGTTGTATTATGCCATCTTGTCCAGGGTAAACATCTGTGATTCGCCCAATGGGCTAAACTCCTCTAGAAATGCCAAGCTCTTCGATGATTACCACATCATCTACTCGAGGGCAGCTGCTGGGATGTGCTGGGTGTAGGTGAAGGGCCCGCCGTTCTAACAGCAGTCTGTCAGTCAGTCAAGGACTTTATTATATGGTCCTTAGGAATTTCAGCCACCAGGGTGTCCACAAGGGACACTCTAGCAGCTACTACTGTAGGCGACGCCTGAGTCGCGGCGGGAATGTGGTGGCGTTCCGCCAGTCTTGGGCCCTCTGGACTGCCTTTTGTTGGTTTATGAGACTGGGGCTCCTGAGTGCCTCCTTCCAGTCGGACTCACTGGTGAGAGGTCGTCGAGGTAACGTGGGACATTGCCAGAGCATGTGTTCGAGTGAACAGTACACTTCTGAGCAGTCTGAGCATTGTGAATCTATGTCCGAGTTGTAACGGCCGAGTCGGCCCCCTGATGGGTACGATCTCGTTTGTAGCATGTGAAAAGCTACCTCTTGCGTGCGTTCGAGCTTTGCATGTAACAGATACTCTTTTTTCCATCGTATCCACAAGTGGTCTGTCAGTTCCTGCCGGTATCTCAACTACTTGGTGATGTCCCTTTGATTAACCTGAGCACTAATGGCATCATAGTTATTGTTGCTCTGCTCCGGAGAAGTTAACAATGAACCTACAATTAGATAATGTGCCAGATGTATCGGAGAAGGCTCTTTGGGATACGTATAGGTCAGTGGTCTTGAATTGACAACTGCTTTTACCTCGAGCAGCATCGTCTTAGTTTGTTTGCTGGTGAGCTTGCTCTTTCCCATCACCTTGCGCAACGATGGCTCGACTGTTCGAACAAGCCTCTCCCGCCAACCGCCCACCAAGGTGCATTTGGCACGGTAAACTTCGACTCTATGTGGTAGTTCAGCTGAAAAGATGCGAATGGCGAGCTTTTCATGACACTCCAAATGTCCCTGAGGTCTCGTGACACTCTCTTGAAGACAAGGGCATTATCGGAGTACATTGTTGCGGGTACTCCTCTGCGAGCCAGAAACCTCCAGAATGCCAGCAAGAAAGTGCTGGTCGAGATCGCGCTCATCAGTTCAAGGTGTACTGCTCTTGTCGTCGCATAGGTGAACAGCAGGATGTATGCTTTCGTTGTGTCACCATGAAGCTCCTGTTACTTTATATACAGTGGACCTGCAAAGGCCAATCCTACAACATCAAATGGCCGTGACAAGAGAAGGCGCTCTTCAGGCGTCGGTGCGTATTGCACATTTCCAGGTTTCACATTGTATTTTCGGCAGAGAAAGCAGGTGCTGATGATTCGCTTCACTTGTTGTCTAACGCGGATGATTTGATACCGCTGTTGTGTTTGCATGATAGTGCTTGCCACACTGCCATGCAAAGCTCTGCAGTGAGTCTCAGTCACTACCAGAGCCGTGAAAGGATGCCTCTGTGGCAGTACGACCGGATGTTTTTACTCATATGTGGCGTCCACTCTTTCGAGTTGTCCGCCAAGTCGAAGCTGTCCATTTCAGTCCAAGAAATGGTGCAGATCGATCAGCATAGACTCTCCCGGGAGAGTGAATTCAAGCTGCTGCTGTTTTGCGTCTTTCGCGAATGCTTTCAGTTGAACATGTCGTACCCAAAACCTTTCAGCCCCGCTTAGTTTCAGTGTCTAAATTGTTTCAGTGTCGAAGCACAGGAGCTTCTGCAGGTCTCTATGCTTACTCATATCAATCACCGTGTGCAAGTTCCATCATGATGCTTGAAGAAATAGATGTTGCGGGTCAATCTCTGGCTCTCTGTCGATGTGCACTGGTTAGGTTCTGGAGGCCAGCTCGATTTTGGCTGGGACAACCATTCAGGTCCGTATCACCAACAGCGGCATGCACGTAGAGTCCTTATATGTATACCACTACTCAGTACATCTGACGAGTTGTCTTTGCCCAGGCAGGAGTGCCATAGCACTGGTTCAGTAACTCGTAGTATTTCAGTCACATTGTGCTTTACAAACTGACTCCACTTACTAGGGTCTCAGCGGATTCTGCTCAATGGGACCATAGAATCAGTCCACATGACGCTATGGAAATGCTTGAAATCCCACGAGGAGCAAATGTATTTTAGCAATCTTGCTCCCACTACCGAGGCCGTAAGCTCGCGCTTTAGCAGCGTTAGGGCCACTTTCGAGTTCGCTACTATCAGTGAGGTGGCCGAGTTCCTGTCTTCGTCAAATGCTCTGAAATAGGCACACTCTCCATAAGCCTTCAGGCTAGCGACGACGAATACGTGAAGTTAAGCCTCTTGAACTGCTCCATGCGGCTCATCTCTCATGCAGCGCGGAATCTTAATGTGGCCAAGCTGGATCACGTTTGCACACCAGGCGGTGATCTCTGCGGGGAATTCATCATTCCAGGAATGGCCTATAACCCAAAGGCATTGAAATGAAAGCTTTGTAGTGATGGTGAAGAGCAATAGAATGCCGGACAGGTCATAAATTCGAGAAGCAACTTTTAGTAGGGTGCACATGGTGTCAAATGGTGTCAAGCTGGTCAGCGACTAAGCACTGGGCCACAGATTTGGAAGGAAGCTTGAAGTAGCCATCTCCTACAGCCCACTGTATTCCCATGACCGCAGCTGCTTCTCTCTATGCTCCTTCTACTTGCTCCTCCTGGTTGTTGAAAATGTTCTGCAGCTGATGGCCATTGCTCGTCTACTTTCTGCGGTTCATGCCTGCATCTCTCATAATTGCCTACGACTGCTTATAAATGCGCAGACCTTGGAATGTGTCCACACCCACCAATAAATCGTCGACATAAAGTGCCTTTTTAATGTAGAAGCAAGCTCTGTGTCTTGCATGCATTATCTAAGTGGTAGCGAATAGTTGCAATGAGCAAGAAGTGACTTGATGTTGATCCAAGTGACACCCATGTCATACGCCATTCGACGAGCTTACAGTGTTGGCTTATGGAAATAGTCAAACCAGAAAAACCGGAATGCATCTCTGTCCGTCTCTTGTATCTCAATTTGTAGGAATGCCTTTTCGATGTCAGAATTGATGGCGACAGCGAACCACTGAAAGCAAAGAAGAACTTCTAGTAATTCTGGATTGAAGTTCACTCCTTTCTGCTAGCAATCATTAAGGGATAGTACATCTTAGGTGTGTGATGATGCGTCAAACACTACGTGCAGTTTGGTAGTTATAGATGCCTCTCTTATGACTTTTTGATGTGGCATATAGCATATGTACTGATCTTGATCCAGAGGAGTATTCTTAGGCCCCACTTCTGCTTGACCCAACTCCAGATATTGTCGAATTAACGTATCATATCGCTGTAAGAGTTTTTCCTTTATCAATAGCCTGCATAGTAATGTTTGTAGACGTTACAGCACGATTTCCCCGTTCTTCCCTAGAAGCTGTTTCTTATCTTCCCTCCAAGGCAACACCACGATGTATGTCCTTTTTTTACTAATATTTTCATGTAATATTGCAACAGACTCATGGGAGGAAGGTTCTGTCGAATCAGCGATGCCCATTGCTTTTAGTTGCCAAAAAAGATTGCAAGATCTGTGAGGTTGATTCGTCAGCACCAATAGCTTGCACGTTCGGAATGAGGCTGGAGCTGCAGTCAACCAAGGCTTTTTGGTGACTGGGTCCTTGTAGCGTCCATCCAAACGCTGTATCGATCGCAACCAGTCCTGGAAATTCTGCACTCTTTACGATACGTCCCGACATTATTTGCCAGAGATGGTCAGCACCGATGAACCAGCTGAGGTCATTTTCCATCTTCGCATAGAACGTCTTTTCGTCCGCAGTGACGTTGCCTCAAACATCTCTCGGACATACCTTGTGTTGTTTTGATGGCAAAGGCTTGAAAAGTCTGTAGGTATAGTACTTCATTGTGATTTGTCGTACCCCCGCTCAGTGAATTCTTGACCCACAGTATAACTGGTCGTGACACTATTCCTATTGTGCTGTGGGTGGAGTTTAGTGGTCAAGAATGTGTCATCAGGCTCATTCTATAGTAAGGGTCGCACATGGTACTCGATGCATGCCTCCTGTGACAACTCGAGCAGGTGAGTTTGACGTGGCGAGAACGTGCTTAATGGCCTCGGGACATGCATTGATAGCAGCGGTTGTCTTTCACTAGCATTTCTTTTTTAGAATCGGAGAGGTTGGCGTCACAAGTGCGTGTGAGGTGTTTCTTCGATTTGTAGAAAAAACACTCACTCAAGCTGCTCGGTGCGTCGTGTAGTACGGAAGCGGTGCTGGTGCTGCCGCTTCGAGTTCTCTGTGCATGGTCATCCACTGGTTTGTCAATAAAGGGCTTACACAGCTCCCGAACTTCTAGCTCAATACGTGTAAACGTGTGCAGCTTTTACTCCATATCAGATGTAGCAACCGCTACGACTGGCTCGAAAACGTTTGCAGCAGACTCGTTTTTTCTTAGCGCTTGACTGCACTTTCCTCGTCTATAGACCGGAATGACGTCGTACGGCAAGGCTTTCTGTAAGATGTCAATCAGCATAGCCGAAAAACTGAGCATGGGAACGTTTAGCGCAGTTAGACACCGGATGTTCAGCTGCACAGCATTGTAAAGTCGCCTAAGGCCGCAGACGTCGCTTCCCGACTTTTTACGAGGTACATTGCGAAGCGCTGAAAGGTGTTGTTGCTCGATACGATCACCAAAGCATTCTTTCAAAAACTCAATGGCGTCCACGTAACAGGCTTCGGAAGTCTGAAAACCACATACCGTATTTACTCGACTCTACCGTGCCCTCGATTGTAACGTGCACCCGGTTTCTACGACGAAAAAAAAACATCGTTTTTCGGATATGGGCAATAGCGGATATGGGATATGGGATGTTCGGATATGGGCAATAGGCGCATGTTTTGTAACTTCTAGAAAAGACACATCGCAGTCTATAGTCTGCCACTGCCACGGTGGCGGGTATGCTACAGGAGCCATTAAACTGTGTTCAAGTGACACTACAGTTTCCTCAGCTAGATCCTTCAGGTGAACTGAAAAAGGCTGCCTAATCGAGGGCCTGTTTTGAAACAGAATGGAGCTCGACAAATCATTAATAGTAGAGTATGAGGGGTGCTTCTTGTCTGCTTTCACCTTAAGGAAATAAACAAAGGACATGTAAGTTCTCTGCAGATGAAGCGACCGCTCATTTGACTCAACGTAAAGTCTTTCTACGGAGCTGGTGCGAAAAGCACCCGTAGAAAGGCGGATGCCCAAATGGTGCACGGGGTCTAGCATCTTCAAAGTACTTTGAGTCGCAGACTGATAAACAACGGCCCCATAATCTAAGCGGGGGCGAATGAGGCTTCTATATAGATTCATAAGAAATTACCTGTCACTACCCCACGTAGTACGTGACAACACTTTTAAAACGTTCATGGCTTTTATTTTAAAACATTCAAGCTTGGTTATATGCCTCGTTTCTAGTGGATTTCTGTTCGAGTTTCTGCTTTTCTATTCTTGTACTGTATTTTTGGAAAGCGTAAGTATAGTGGGATGAGCTGGACACCTGTTCGAAGTGTACACCGAGGAAGTTTGCTTGATCTTCCAAGGTATCACCCTGAGTGTTTACGAGTGGAAGTGTGTGTACTGTATTTACTCGATTCTACCGCGCCCTCGATTGTAACGCGCACCCGATTTCCACCGCGAAAAAAAAAAAAAAACGTAAGACATCGATTGCAACGCGCACCCATTTTTCTCGTTGGCCCACACGATCACACCACTCGGGAAAAAGACTCCTTTCGGAAGCGTCTTCCCTTTAAATATGAGGTACGGGGGAAGCTTGTGCCTATCTGACGTGCAACGGAGCATTGCTGTCACTCTAGTTTTACCGTTGCCCGATGTCAGCACGCGAACTTGCTTCGCCCCCTTCTTGTCGACGATTGTGGTGCCAGGCATGTCGAAGTAAAGAGGCGTCTGATCGGCATTCCCGATTTGCCCAAGCAGGGAGCCATTGTTGTGCCGCAAGTTTAGGACAAACCTCTGAAAACTGAAGCTTTTCTTCGTACTCCTCCGGCAACTTTTGGCATATGCCTGTTCGCCTTAAGAGGGAAAAGCCTTTCCTCTTCATAAAGTTAGTTAGCCAGCACCTGCTCGCTTTAAACTGGCTTCGCATTAGCCCTTTTTCTTAGGCTAACTGCATAGCCTGCACTTGGAGCAGTTCTGTCGTCACGGGCCGCTGTGCCGCTCACTGCTCAATCACATACTTGCCGAGCAGTTTTTCAATTTGCGAAAACCGACTCTGCTATGGTCCACTGAAGCCTTTGCGTGAATATTTGCTGTCGACGACATTCTGCTTTTGTTTCCGCCAGTCCCGCATGCCGAACGAGCGCGATGCAGCCCGATTTACGTCCGTTTTGGCACACGTGATGACTTTTCTTTTAAAAGCGGCGTCGTGGTGCACTTGTCGAGTTTTTGGAGTCGGCCCTTTCATGTCGTCGATGCTGCACACCAAGATGACAAACTTCTCAGCACACGTACGAAGTGCCGCACATGGGAAACACATAGGCAGAAATGGCCGACGCGCCATGCCGTCGCACATAGGGGGCGGCCATTTTATTTATATTTTTATTTTTTATTAACAGAATATTGCGGTCGAAAGACCAAGAGGGGGCATAATAAAAAGTGATTCACAATGTAACTTAAATAAAAAGAAAGTTCAAGCAAAAAACATGTTAATGCAGTAGAACACAGGATAACATTTGAACAAAGTTAAATGGCAGCAAGAAATGACCTTACATGGAATGCTGATGGCAATAGAATGACCGTATTTATTTTTTTTTCGTACTCGATTCTAACGCGCATGCGATTTATGAACTCGCTTAACCGGAAAAAAGGTACGCGTTAGATTCGAGTAATTACGGTATCACCGCTGCCGCTTCAACTGCAAGATAATGACGTAGATAGAACTTTTTCGTTGTTAACAAAGCGTTGTTCAGGTTGACAGTCTGCTTGAACTGCTCCCACAAAGCTCCCGCCTCGAAATGTTGGCCTGCCAAGGTTCGGCAGTCTTGAGCCAATTTTGATCGGAGCATCAGATTATGGGATAGCGTTCTGAGATGCAGTCGCTGTGGTACTCTCTCCACATCCCAAACTCTATTTTGCGGTGCATCTCGGCGAGCATGCTGGTTGTTATACTTGACCGCTGCGACATACTCCGCTTCAAGCTCCTCGTCAGCTAAGTGCTCTTCGAGTGCCTCATTGATTTTTGAGAGCTTGTTCTTTGCTAGCTGACCAACAGTCATAAACAGCTAAAAGCTTGGGATTGTTTGCGGTAGAATCTGTGAGCAGCGACCTTGCTTCCTGCAGAAGCTTTGTGTTTTGGGCTCATCGAGCCGAGCACTTAGTCTTGACGTGATCCACCGGATCCATTGTTGAAGTCGATGAGCTCTGGGTCGATGCCGGTCACGAATGATCCATTGTAGTCCTCGTTGCCCGCAGCACGATGCAGTTAAGTAGACGCTCCTCTCAAGTCATGTGATCAAAGAGACGTGTTCGCAACGGGGGTTTTGGGCGCCACAATGTGAAGAAAGCAATGAATTAACGAAGATACCACACTGAATGCCCTTCATTGTTGCAACTTCGTCTTTTTTTCTGACGTTCCTGACGTTTAACTCCATCTCTAGAAACAGTCGCTTGTAGCACAAAGATGGGCACTGCATGAGAATCGGATGCGTGCATGGCGCCACCATAAATACAGGCCTGTTTTGTTGTATTTCTTTTCGTAACGTTTACGAGGCTGCCCCACGACAGCTTCACTTAACTGAAATGACAACACATGCATTGTACCTGCCTAATTATTCTTTTTTTGTGATACTGTTTCCAGGTTGCTGGTGCGGGATTGGTTAACCAGAGGCGGGGCCTCATCAGTGGCACCAGGCGACTCGCTGCAATGCAGGTAGGTTGTGTGAACTTGTAGCCCAAGCTTTCCTTCACAGCTTCAAGGTGCTTTGCCACACACTTCCATGTAACCGTCTAATGGCTTCGTTAAAAAAGCCATTGCCTTACAAGCCAGCTGCCATAGAAGTGTGTAGGATTCGTCAACTACAGGTGGGTTGGCAGGGATTGGTTGCAAGCTTCAAATGCTTTCTCTTTCCTTTTGTACTAGTGAATACGTTGAAAGCTTCGAAAGAAGGGAATGACCCCGGAGCAAGATGATGCATCCCTTCGTTAGCGCGCGTCATTGCCTTAAGCGCTTACCTTTGTTTTTTCTTTGGACGCGTGGCTTGTACAGAGTATAATCATGGGTGCACATACGGCATGTGGCGCCATCTTGACGCAGTCACGGTAATCATGTATCTCGCGATGTTCACATCAGCCAACGCTCGGGGACTTTGGGTATGTGGCACAGTATGGAGAAAGCGCTTGTCCTCTCTTCCCTTCTGTTTATTCGTGTGCTTGAACTGACAGTTATACCATGCATATTCAACTAGCCCAACTTTCGATTCTGTGGCACAGTAATTTGGGTATATGGCATCGTTTGTGGAAGGAAACAGGAGTGATGTCTAGCTGTCTTTGGGAAATAATTGTAAATTCCAGAACACATTCTGCGCTATAATGTTTGGCGCGTGTGATGGGGGGCTACAACTACCGGTCAAGGTCAACAGCGTATGACCACGCTGAAAAAGTGTTGCAAGGCCCCTTCCACATTCAACTTCACCCTCTAGACTGTTGTATGTATGAGACAGAGTCAAATGTGTGTTTTAGCCTCTTTGAACTTGCGTGCTAAAGAATTTTCTATAAAATCTAAAATAAGCAGATTTATCTCTAAATATCAGAGTCTTTTACATACTTATTCTTCCGTGTTAATGTAATGTTCCGGTTTTTCCGGCTCACTGGCATATTCAAGGTCTCAAATCACATGTTGCGTGTTTATGAAGTACAAAATCTCTTCAATTTTTGATGCAGTCCTCTCCAGTAGGGTTCTCTCTTTTTTTTTTTAGAGCTTATTATGTTGTGTTCTTACAGCACCACTGTGAGCTACACATGGAACATGTATTGATTTCACTCAATATTGGCTGATATATGTATGAACTGCACAGTTCAGGATTGAAATCTTCTGCCACCTTTTCAGTACCATTACAATTGGTAATAGTATTGCCTGGTTTGTAATAGTGTTGCCTAACTGTGTACACTTGTAGAGAGCTTCCAATTACAGTCAAACCTCGATATATCGAACACGGATATATCGAATTATTGCCTATATCGAACGGTTCCTATATCACGGGGGAAATCGCATGCATTATTAATTTTTTTATTTCAAACAAAGTTTCAATTATATAATAGATATATCGAACTCAGCCACCCCAAACTGCCCGTGCTCCTTTGACAGGCGGCGAACTTTCCCGCAACTCTCGAAAGTAGGGGTAGAGCGACGGGCGTTTACGAATGCTGCACACATCGATGGCGCCGGGAGCGCAACTTTAACGTAGCGGCGTACGCGCGCCGCAGCCTTGCGCTGTGGTGCGCGACAGGCCTAACTCTGAACGGCGGAGCTCACGCATGTGGAGATTGTCGCTGAAGCTACTGCTGAGCAGCCAAATGAAGACTCTGCCGAGGTGGATCCCGCAAGCGCTGATGGTGCCCCGCTCCCGACATCAGCTCAGGTCGTAGCTACCTGGGCCCTTGTGCGCCGCTACTGCGGCGCGATTGAAGGCACCGGCCTATCACTTATGGATCGCCTGGACTATATTGAGGACGCAGTCGTCAAACACGCCATGGCCAACAAAAAGCAGGCTACTCTTTTTCAATATTTTAAACCAACTCAATAAATACTATGTTTGAATCTTCAAGTGAGTATTTACTGCACCACGCTTGAACGGTTCGTTGGTTGTTTTCAGCAAGCTGTTGACACATTTTTTTCGTGCTTTTTTTTATACCGAATTTTGTATATATCGAACTATTTCGCGATCGCCGCGCCGTTCGATATATCGAGGTTCGACTGTAGCTGCTTTTGAATGCTGCCATTTCTGTTTCGTTACTGTTACTTCTATCTTTATGATATCCGTATTTCTAATCTCACTGACTGTTGAGCAAATTCTATTTTATTTTTGAGGTAGAAACGTTCGTCTATTGTCGATTCATTAAAGTGGAGCTTTCATGGTTATTTACTTTTGAGTTCGATTTCTGCTTCAGGCAGAAATTAGTTTACCTTATTTATAGTTTTGGTAATTCTCTGTACTGATCATTGTACGGGTCACCATTCAGAGTTGTTTCTAAGTTGACAGGGGCTTTCCCGGAAAGGCGCAGAAACTTGAAATTGACAGTGGAAATGGGGCATTCATTGTAGCTTTACGATGTCTTCTCAGCCTCTTTGAAACTGCTTTGCAGAAATGGAATGTAGGGTTGCAACTCAGTTGTACTATATGCAAACTGCACAAATTGCTGTGCTTGATGATAATTTTTTAATGCGATAACAAAAAGGGGTACCTTTTTTTTCTTTTCCTGCACCCCAGCAAATACAAGCAGCCCAGGGTGACATAGACGAACGTGTGAGTACTCTCCTTTGTTTGCTTTCATAGTGTCTTGTTATACCCGTGTTTTTTTTTTTTTTCATTTTCCCCACCCTTCTGGTTTCTACTAAAGTCTAAAGTGCTTTGCAGGTTAACATTAGTACAGCATTCAACATTTTGGATCCAGTACGTGTATTTTCCCCCTATAGGTTGTATTATCAGCGTCAAATGAAACACGAACAGGGGCAAGCCTTCGCAATGGTATAGTGCTCGCCGTCCACTTATCACAATTTACAGATGCACGCATCTTGTTTTGCAGCTCTGGGCATATATGCATGCCTGTCCACGGTAATAAGTGGACGGCGTGCACTGTACCATCACGAAGGCTTGCCACTGTTCGGGTTTCATTCGACGCAGATAGTACATTCCACGTAAACAAGAAAAATTGCTGAAGACTCACCTCAAAGATATTCGAACTGCAATAAAGTTACACAGCGAAAGCATTGAACTGGTTATTTCGAGGAAAACTACACATAACCCAACAGTTTAATTGCAAAAAGAACGTTGTCTTGAAATCGATGTGCCTGTCGGTACGCCTCAGTGTCAACAACCACGCACTGACGGCTGCTTAGATGCTGTTCAGAGGCTACGAACGAGGAAGCTTTACCTGCCCTACGACCTTGCCGTGATTGCTTCAGTGTGGTACAAACTACAGTAGACTCTCAGTAAACGGAACCTGAAGGGGCCGTTAAAAAATGTTTCATTTAAAATGGGAGTTCTGTTTACTGAGAGGTGAACAAGGACACAGAATACAAGTTCGAAATTGAGCTTTGCAGAGCAATAGTTCCATTTAAGCAGTAGTTCCGTTTAACAGATTCCCGTTTACTGAGAGTATACTGTACTAGGTTATATTGAACTTAGAAAATTTCAAATTACCGTATTTACTGGATTCTATCGCTCCCTCGATTGTAACGCGCATCCGATTTCCATGACGAAAAAAAAAAAAAAAGTAAGACATCGATTGCAACGCGCACCCATTTTTCCTGATGGCCCGCACGATGACACCACTCGAAAAAACTACTCCTTTCGGGAGCGACTCCTTTCGGAAGCTTGTGCCCATCTGACGTGTAACAGAGCATTGCCGTCACTGTAGTTTTACCGTGGACCGATGTCAGCACGCGAACTTGCTTCGCCCTCTTCTTCTCGACGGTTGTGGTGCCAGGCATGTCAAAGTAAAGAGGCGTCTGATCAGCATTCCCAATTTGCCCAAGCAAGTAGCCGTTGCTGTGCCGCAAATTTAGGTCGAACCTCTGAAAACCGTGAAGCTTTCCATCGTACTCCTCCGCAAAACTTTTCGCATATGCCCGTTCACCTTCAGAGGGAAAAGCCTTTCCTCTTCATAAAGTTAGTTAGCCAGCACCTGCTCGCTTTAAACTGGCTCCGCATTAGTTCTTTTTCTAAGGCTAACTGCATAGCCTGCACTTGGAGCAGTTCTGTCGTCACGGGCTGCTGTGCCGCTTGCTGCTCAAGCACATACTCGCCGAGCAGCTCTTCAATTTGCGGAAACCGACCCCGCTGTGGTCCACTGAAGCATTTGCGTGAAGCTTTGCGTTCGACAATCTTCTGCTTTTGTTTCCGCCAGTCTCGCGCGCACATTTCAGGAACTCCGAGCGACTGCGATGCGGCCCGATTTTAGTCCGTTTCTGCACACGCGATGACTTTCTTTTTAAAAGCAGCATCGTGGTGCACTCCAGCTTTTGTAGTCAACCCTTCCATGCCGTCGATGCTAATGCATTACAAGATGACGAACTCCTCAGCACACGTACGAAGTGCCGCACTTGGGAAACACATAGGCAGAAATGGCCGACGCGCCATGCCGACGCACATAGGGGGCAGCCATTTTGGAATTGCCGATGGCAATAGAATGACCGTATTCATTTTTTTTTCGTACTTGATTCTAACGTGCATGCGATTTATGAACTTGCTTAACTGGAAAAAAGGTGCACGTTAGATTCGAGTAATTACGGTATGGTAAACTCCCAGCAAACAAAAATTTTTTAAAACAGAACTGCTGTGTAAATGGAACAAATACTTCTAATATGATTGGTTTTTTTTACTTGAATTCAGCTTTTTGTTCGTCTCTCAGAAAATGTAACTTTTTGTTAAAAAAAGGTCTCAATGTACTGTATTGTCTCGCATATATCCCGTCCTTGCTTATAACTCGTACCCCTAACTTTGAACTGCACGAAAAAAAGGAAAATCCTCGCGTATAACTTGCATGCTTAGCTTGAAAGAAACATTTGGGAAGTCGCAACTGCACAGTCAGAATGTTGTTTTCAAAAAAACTGTATTTTCACGAAAGAACTTTATTTAGTCCCATCGAAAATCCACGCCTGGCCATGAATCGCTGGACACATCCATGGCTCGCACGAAACTCGCGTGAGACGCTCGCGGGCCAACCTCAGCGCTTCTTTTTGCACCATCTCCATTGACACAGCGTCGCCGCGACTCCTCCACTCCTTAATAAATTTGACTAGCTGCGTCTCAAGAAGGGGCCATGAATGCCATGAATGAACACCAGTATTCGGGCCATGAATGCTTGCTTCTCCTTGCCTGCACTTTCAAGGGAGGCCTTTTTTTTCTTCGCCAGTCGCGAGTGCAGAACTCATCGACGTCGGGCCTCCTTGGAGCTCTGTTGGCAATTTCTTCCGCAGCAGCTATTATCCCGAGTTTTTCTTTCGCGGTCAAAAATTGCTGCCCAGACGCACTCATGGTGACTCATTAGACGAGGCTGACCAAGGGTGCAAACTGGCCGCACCTGACTTGGAGACAGACGCTGTCAAATCGCTGTTGTGACGCTGTTGACCAAATCAAACAAAGCACGCAAAAATTGAATAAACATACTACGAAGAGAATTTGTTTGTTGCCTGTGTTGGTTTTTATTGGCTTTGCACCGGACAATGCTGATAAAGGTGCAGACTGTGCCACTGGCCATGCGTTGGCGTGAAGCCGACCTCTGCTTCCGGATTATTTGCTGTTAACCCACACCCCCACTTTTCAGGTGATTTTTATTTTCAGTTTTTGGTGCGGGCAATATGCAATAAAATACGGTAGTCAACAGAGCTGTCGCCAATGAGAGCCTCGGAATAAATGTCAACAGCAATGGCATGTAGAATCAGGCGAAGCTGGAATGATTATAAAGCAAGTTATCACCCACTTGACGCATTTAACGCTGCAGTGCTTCTGTGCTGGCATGTTGTCGCAAGTCCCATCATGAAAAGTCAGCAGAGCCGCACTGTCGGCTTTGCTCGCTGCCAACATCGGTGGATCAGCCGAGCTTCAAGCAGAAAGCAGGCTGCTGCAAAGCTTAATGGGATACCTAAGATCTTTTGTCACTGAGATATTCAGCGCTGTTGAAAGCTCGAGTGCTTAAACTGGTTAACTAAATCTTCATTTCACGCAGAAACTGGAGGAAAATAATAAATTTACCGCATTTTTCACGAACTTCTGTACCCAGAGGCCACGCTGTGGTCTAGAAGAGATGAGTGCTCTGCACCCACTAAGACTACTAGAACCGGTATGAACGGCACTGGCAGGAAGCAGTCCTGTGCGGGGCATGACTCCTTCTCATTGTAGAATGGGGAGAGGGAAATGTAAAGATGTGGGGGAAGGGAATTAGCAGGACAGAAACGCGTACTAAACCCTGATTATGCCATCAGCCTTGCTTTACGTCACAATAGTGAATGCGCAGCTCGCAATGCACTAGCATGCAGGCAGGCACCACTCGCTCAAAATCCTAAAAAAAAATACAGCCAGCTGTTCAGGAATACAGTGAAATCTCAATACAATAAATCTCAAGGGACTGTTAAAAATTATTCATTATTTTGAAAAGTTTTAGTTAAAGTAATAAATATCAACTGCATTGTGCTCTAATAGGCGAGAAGAAACAAACACGAAATGTGACAGAACCAGTGCACGTTTATTTGAGGAAGAGTGCTTATCTCAATGTAGGTAGCTCGACTGCCGAAATACAAACTCTTGAGCGTGCGCATCCTTCTTACGCGCTGCAAAGCATCGGTGTTAAGTGCAGATTCTTCACGTCGGTGCGTGCGCGCTGTTTCAACGTCGTCTTTGCACTCGTCGACATTTTCTTATCCCGACATATAGTATGGATCATATCGGTCGTCAGCTGCGCTCACGTGCGTGCTTCGTCGTTGCAGTGTGTGCAGTGTTCGAGCATTAGTGAAGCATGCACAGGGAATCATCGCAGACTTCATCCCATAGGTCACTCGCGTCGCATTTTTCACTGTCATAGCATTCCTTTTTTGCTGCTTCTAGAGCTCATCTTGAACGTTCGGCCACCAACCAATAGGCTAGAAAAGAGCTATGTGACACGTGTGCAGGTAAAGATGCTTGACAAAAACAATGGTTATAGGGTGAAGCCTGTCTACTCTAGCCACGGCAGCCTTATGAGAAAAACAAGTGGCAGCCGATGACGATGGTGATAGAGGGCTAACGCACATTTTAATAGGGCAAGCAGATATAAAAATATGCGGGCATTCTGATGATGGTGATTATAGGGGCAGGTACGAAGCTGGACATTATTTTTAGAGCTGCAAGTAATTTTTTAAATTCGCTATTATTTGAAGTGTTCTGGAGATATAAAGGGGATAACATTCGGTACACTATTCTTAAACATTCGGTATTCTCAAATTTGTAGTAGTGAAATATTTTTACATTAAACTAATGGACATTTGGAGGGGATTCTTCAAGAAAGTCAACAGTCTGAAAATAATCGTTAATCTGAGGTTCGCTGAAATGAGCTTTCACTGTATGTGGAATAAACTCTTTATTGGAAAGGTCACGTCTTCAGAATGGACTTTTGATGTTTCCGGCATTTTTTTCTTATTTATTGTAGTATCCCTTTAAAAAAATGTGTGGTATGTTTCAGAGAACTACTTATTTAACTGAAAGCAACGAATGATGGGAAAATTTTGCGTCAAGCTGCTCAATTCCGGAGATTGCAACTTGGTATTTCT